CATAACGAGCTTGATAAAATAGGTCTCCTTATTTCCCACGAGGCTGGGAGAGTTTTCGANTTATCATGAAAAAACTAATAAATAAATTTATACATAATTTATTGCGTTTATTGCTACAAATGCTCTGCAGTGCTTAAGTGCGGTGATGCTCTTTGGTTTATCTGAATTACAATTTAGATGCAATTATTGTCATTTAAAAGCAGTGGAATTTTTATCTAATATTGATTTTTTTCCTCACTTAATCAAAGAAAGCTTCTGTGGTTCTTTGGTGGTAAATATAGCAAGAATTATCCGGTAGCCGCGAGTTATAAGATTCCATTTGGAACATTTCCAATTATGCCAGTGAAGATAAACAGAATCGATATTTGGAACGATATTCACTCGGTAGTCATTAATGGAGAAAATATAGTTGGTCGTAACTCTATATACAGTATAAAGTTATTGCTGTTGTGGATTTGTGTCAATGTTTGTTTTTCTATATGAGAGATTAGAAATATTAATATAATCTTATATACATTGATAATATACAGTAATGTACATGGAACTTGTATAACTCATAAAATCATATAAAAATGTGTTTTTTTCTAAATCAAAGTATCATTTTGATTAACTGTAAGAAACTACAAAGACTGCATCATTGAAGACATCATAAGTATAAGGATGTTTTTCACTGGCTGACAAAGTATACTGCAGCAATATTTCCAGTAATTATATCATTTCTTGTTATAAGAATCCATGCAGAGGTGGTGTGTCTTCATAAACAAAATATGAGGCGTCTGAAAAGTGCAATAGTCTTCACATACTAAAGTAGATTTGTTCTTGCTGCTGTTTTTCACATTACTCTGGCTAAAATTAATTGTAGACTGTAGACTAGTTTTGTAGAAGTACTTTTCAACACAGGTAATGTTGAAAAGACTGTGTGTTTTTAGTACATTTGATAACAAGTACAAAGATGATGTAATAGCCATTGTGGTAACCAGGGCTGTGGAGTTGTAAAATTCTACCAACTCCAACTTTGCCTTATCATCTGATTCCAATTCCACCCAGAAGCGGACTTATTACAAAATAGGCCCAGAAATTCTTATGTCATCATGTGACCTCAGAATAAAAGCTTCAATAAATAGAGTTCTAATAACGTTAGAATGTAGAAACTTTTTTATTCCAAAGCTAAAAGACTCCTCTAAAGTAATGACATTCAATATATAAATATGTACTCATATTTGATAATTTTTACTTTCCCAGCTGCTGTATATAACAGAGGGAAAGTTTAGCAATCAGTCAAAAAATACTTTTCCCCAAATATTTACATTTTTGGAATCAGGACACCTTGAAATGTCAAGATATGCAAAAGATTCAAGGTTTTTTTTTCTGTATGTATGTATGCTTATTAACCTCTGTGGTTTTTGAATCGGAGTCAGATGGTTTAACACAAAAGTTATTAAGCTTCAAAGTGGTTGAACTAAATCATGCCCCCACACATGTTCTAACATCTCAGGCGAGAACATCTTAATCAACTTTTATTGTACTGTTATAAAATGACAAAATGATTAATTTTGAGGATATAAACGAGTCTTATAAAAATTGCAAATGCTAATAACAAGTAAAATATTAAGTCCGACCACACTGGAGATATGACACATGACCCCTTCTATATCTCCACCCTGTCAACTTTTAATTAAGAACCAAAATTTAACAGCATTAATGCCCCTTTATACACAAGTTACCATGTCAAATTTTGTTTCTTAAACTTTACCCATTCTGAGATATTATTTAATCTCTCAGTCAGAGAATCAAGAAATTAAATGAATTAGATGCCAACACACACATGAATTTTTCATCTTTATTTGACATTTTGGGGTTCGAGAGGTCTCCAAACATCCAAACATGTAGATTTGCAAATAACCTCTGAGGGTCTAATTTTCATTTTATATACATAAGTTGGGAAAGTAAAAAGGAGTCGGAGTTGTCAAAAATTTGCCGACCAACTAAATCACCAAAACTCTACGACTCTGCAGCCGTGGTGGTAACTTAGCCAATTTACTTAAACACCATTAACCAGTAGCACTATCTTTTGACCATCCAGATCCAGGCCAGGGATGTTGTGCATGTGTCGAAAACATTAGTGCTCTCTTTTTAACACTCCCACTATTAAAGATGGACTAAGTAATTTGGCTGTTAACAAAAATAGACCCAGTAGAGCTTTAAGTGCACAATCTCCTCTCTCCTCACCTCTTTCTTTTAACAAAGAGCAACTGCCGTAAATCATTGGGCTATAATTTGGAAATAATAATTATAAATTACTAATGAATTTGACTCTAGAGGGAGTTGTTAGGCACCATTTTGTATTTTAAATTTAATAATTATAATTTTAATTAAATAATTTTAGATTAAACTGGAAGAAAATTTACGGCAGTTGTTGGCGTGTTATTGCTATGTATCGGGTTTTAGTAAAGTTGTTTATATTTAACATAGTTAATAAGATTTTCTATCTGTAGGCATCGGAATATGCAAGCTTATTTCAAACTGATATGTTAGCTATACACAACGTTTTCAAATTGTCTTTAGAACTTGCACTAGTTATTAATATTTCCTACATTTTTAGAACAGGAAGAATGGAATTTACTCCAATTATTTGAATCGGTAGAGGGAAACTCCTGCTTGGAAGCATTATCAAAATTGTTCACTCGGCAAAGAACTAACTTTTAATAAAAATAACTCTTAATTTCCAGTTAGTGCTGTTACAGTTCTTAGTTTTCTTAAACACGTTCTTCTTTTTTGCGACTATGCTGAAAAACTTCTTTGTCTTCCAATTACAACATTATGCTCTTTTGTCATTTTATTTTTAGGAAGATCCTACACGAGAATTTGGCATTACTGTGGTATTCACAGTGAATTTTTAAGTCTGAGGAAGTTTTAATTTCATTATACATAAATATTTTTCCTCTTAATCAAATCAATTACATGCCTTTTGATCTAAACAGATCTGTTTGTTGTTAGGTAACTGCCAAACAGTAGCTACTTTTATAAACAAACATTTAAAATACTTCTAATAATAAGCTAGTTTGACAATTAAGATGTCATTTTATTAATAATTTGGAACTAAAAGTTATTTTAAATAACATTATATAAAATAAGTACTGTATTTTCTCAATTGAAGCCTATGGGGGTTTATTTTTAAAACATATTTCCGGGTGTTTTTGAGGCTAATGTTTATTATGTTGCAGTGGGAGAAGTATTTTAAAACTTTCTCATCTTTATCTTCTTTATATTTAACCAAGGAATTTTAATTTTTTAAATCAACTTGTGTATAATGCAACTAATTATGTATGACAAACTATTGTTTAGTTTCTTTAATATATCAATTATTACAGGGAGGAATGCACTAGCAAGAATATTTTTTGTATACTTCCAGAATTTATCTAAATTCAATAAAAATAACAAAAATAAAGATCAGAATATCACCCAGGCTATTCTTTTTTTTCCAAAATTATAAATTATAAAATATCAAAAGCTAAATGCACGTATCTCTATTAACAACTTGGTAAAATTTATTAGTGAGATCACTCCCGAAGTACAAAAGAAACGTGCATAATCCAGCACAATTTTGTTTGTGAATATTTAAAATTATCAGTAAAATGTGTTTAGGAAAATATTGAATTATTGTGCAAAATGCTTTATTATAAATTCATTTGCATTTCATATTTTGTTGCCCACCTGGTAAAGTGTCAGTTACTGTTGCAAGAGTACCAGGTTCAAATTCAATCTGTCCCCTCAATTTATCGTGATTAATACGTCGGGTGCAGCCAGGTAGCAAGTGGCTAAGTAAGCAAACCAATGACATAGTTTGCGTTATACAAATTGTGCCCACAGTCAAAATATTCTTCATTTCTAGCTTGTTACAAATCAGCCTGTCCGCAATGAGCAAAATTGTAGCCAGTCATATTCCTTTAACATATTATCATCTCCCATGAGAATTTAAGTGATCAAATGATGATTTAATTTGTTTTATTTTGGATGTCCGATTGTGATCCGATGCAATGTTGATCAGAATTGAACCAGACTGTTTTAGTGCATTTATGTGAATAAGAAGTGTTTCATTAAATTTTTATTATGGAACATGTTCCTGGAAAACTTAAAGCTGCCATAAATCAAACTAATTTCTTGTAGGACCAACTGATAAATTGAAGTTAATTTCCCAGAAGTAACTTTGAATTATATAATATACCAAAATTACGAAAAACAAATACATGCAGTACTTAAGTAAATATACTACTGTGATAGAATATTAATAAAAGTCAGAATTCGTATAACAACTGTAAAGTGAGAATTCACTATATAACAAACTCAAATGCAGTATTGAATGAATGAAGCCCCACATACTGTGTATAGTTTATAGTGTGCTATAAGTTATGTAAATAAAAAGATATTAGACAATTAGATATATTTATAGTGCAACTAGCACATGCAGGTATGTACATTCCTCTTATCTCTCCCACTTGTACTGTCACAGTTCTGCCAGACACCAATGCTAACTGCTCCATATGTTTTTGATAGTGCTGTTTATTCCCTTTGATGACTTTCATACCAATTATGGAAGCTCTGACAGAAGTGAAGGGTTCTCTACATCTTTAAATGAGTAAATATATCATGCAACCAACCCTCTTTTTTCATTTTAACACCATAGTTAACAAAAGAAGAGACATCTTGGTATGACTGATCCACTATAAGTTTTACCTTTGATTTGTGGGGGTGTACAGTACATCTATTGTTGCCACAATATCGCAATGGAATTTATAATGCATATATACAGTATACTGTTAGTGGCTGGTGTTTGCTTCACTGTAACTTTTATATTAGCCTCTACATTCTGTAATGGTTTTACTGGTTTGATTACTCATAAAATTTTATAGTTATGCTTGTTTAAAAATTTAAAGACAAGGAACAATTATAAATTAAATTTAAAAACTTGATGTATTTAATACCACTTTTTATTTTAACAGGAAAAACAAAATGTCAGATGTTAAACGATTAGTAGCCTCTTTCGTTCAGTTTCTCGGCGACCAACTGCGGAACGCCGATCTCACATTGGATGCCAAAGAAAGCATAGAAGGTAAAAATGATCTCTTAAAATGGCATTTAAAAATTTTTGTCCGTGACTTCGGATTATATTTTATTTGCAGTTGCAATTCAGTGTTTGGAGTCTGCATTTGGAGTCAGTGCAGAAAACGAGGCCTCGAGTTCTCATTCTCTACTGCAGATATTTACTGAAGCGACAAAAGATAGTGTAGTAAGTAAGATTGGCTTTATGCTTGGTGCATCATCAATTCAATTCATGTAACTCTTCTGTTGTTGTTGTTCTGTTATACAGGATGAGAACGCAAAAGCATCAGAACATGTTGAAGTATCTGAAGCATCCAAGGCCGAGGCTGAAAATTTAAAGGTCTTGGGTAGGTGGCTAATTATGGAGTTTATCATCATCCTTATTACAGAAATTTTGCACAAGTTCTATTCTAAGATATTGTCATGTTTTTATAGGTAATAATCACATGAAATCTGAAAATTTTAATGCAGCAATAGATTGTTATACAAAAGCTATACATCTGGATCCAAACAATTCAGTATTTTACTGCAATAGGTAAATACAAAATTTCATAATCTTGTATAATTGATAATTTATAGAATAACCATAGAGTATTGATTTATGTTTTTATAGAGCAGCTGCTTACAGCAAACTGAATAATCACAAGGCTGCCATCCAAGATTGCGAGGCTGCAATTAAGATAGATCCCAGTTACAGTAAAGCCTATGGGAGAATGGGGTAAGTTACCAAATGAGAAATAAATCTGGTATTAAACAAGCAAGAAATTTTATATCTTGTTTTTGGAACATCAGTCTAGCTCATGCCAGTTTGGACCAATATCAGCAAGCAAAGGAATGCTTCCAGCATGCAATTAGCTTGGATCCACAGAATGAAAGTTACATCAACAACCTCAAAGTTGCCGAAGAGAAAATCAAGTCTGGAAGCTCCGCTTCAGTATGTTTTGGCATTGTTACACGATATCTTTTGACGCATGTTGGTATTAATTAATAAATACATAAATTCTAGGGCAACAGACCAGACGACAGCAGGAATTTGGGAGCAGGTTTTAATGTACCTTTTGATTTTTCGTCAATTTTAAGTAACCCGTTACTTATGAACATGGTAAGTTTATCGCTCTTGCTTTGAATACCGTCGATTTAATAGCATTTAAACATTAAAATTATGTTTTCAGGCCACTCAAATCATGCAAGATCCGAATATGCAGAATTTGTAAGTTTCCGCTTCCTTTCTTCGTATTACAATTTCAGTAAAGATATAAAAAAAATATACACGCGTTAATCTAACTGGCATAAAAACAAGTAGTTTATTTTATTTTTAATATTGGTAGGTGTTTTTTTCATTTGTAATACAGTTTTTGAATGTTCTTTAGGCTGACAGGATTAATGTCTGGGTCCGTGCGTGATGGAAGGGATGGTATGGACGCCTTGCTTCAAGCGTAAGCAATTTTACATTTATGAAAAATTGTACTTGTCACGCAGAACTAAAGTTTCCTACTGACGTTGAATGGTTCGACACGTCAGTACCTTAAGATTTTCGTGCACCGCGCCAAGAAAATGTCGTTCCGCGTGACAAGTCGGTGTCGAATAATGCACATTACACAGAATTATAGTAGAATAATTAATGATAAGACAAACTTTGCATCGGAATATCTATTCCCCTAAACAGATTGATGTCAGGTAGGGGTTTTTAGTAGGGTGTTTTTTTAATTACACAATGATAACACTTAACAAAATTTTGTTTTATGAAAGTACCGCACGTTATTTCCGATGCAGAGTTCTAGATAGCCGAACACTTGAAACAAGGTGCCATCCGCCAAATTGGCATTTCTCAAACTCGCTCAGCATCCCATTTAACAGCTCTGAGTTTGAGAAATGACTCCATAGTATTAGAAAAAGACTGACTAACTTTTAAAACCAGAGTGACCCTCCCCCTTTTAATTTCAGGGGACAACAACTAGCAGCTCAAATGCAAGCTTCCAATCCGGAGCTAGTGGAACAGTTTAGACGGCAGATGGAATCCTCTTCCAGACAAAATCCTCCCGAGAATAACAACTAGACGAACCCGGCCCGAAAAAGTTGCAAACCTCTGTCGACTTTGGATACAAAATAAATATTTTGGAATGGGAATATGGTAGGGGAAACGTGGTCGCCGTCATCGTCGTAATTACTATCCTAGAAGAGCGAACATTCCCGGCACGTCACTGGCCACCCTCTTCTACTAAAAAAAAAAAAATTCTTCACAAGATCGAATTTAAAAACTAGAAACAAATGTTAGGACAAAAAATATATATATTTTGATATGATTGGGGAAGCACGCCGTCGTATAATGATTCACTCTTGCCGAGTACAAATTTGACTAAATTAAGAACATTAATTATTTATATAACCTTTAAATCTGTAGAAAGCTGTATCCGACATTTAAACAGAAACTTATGTACATACTTGAGTTTATCAAAATCCTATTCCCGTTCTTGTATGTCAGTTCTGTTCAACCGAAATTACAAAGAATAAATCTGTTTTGAATGACTTTAGTAGGAATAAGTGATATTTTTGGAGTTTATGGTAAAAACTGAATAAAACTGCTAATAGCCAAAATGTAATTGAATTACATTTTGGTTAAAAGTAGAAGTTTACTCGACAATTTCATTAACAATCCAATTTGTTGCATGTCTAGAACAATACGTATCATTTACAAACAATTCTCTTTGGCAGTGTGAACGCAGTCTTAGAAGACAATGACAAAAGCCAATTTTTTTTTTAATCATCCATCTTTGTGTGGGTCATTTTAAAGTTAGCCGAGATTTGGCATTTGTTGCTGTCGTGATGGTATTGACCAATCAACGCGACCTTCCCACAATTCTCTCAAGTTGTCCCTCTGTCTTGTTAAAGAAAGATCTTGGCTCTACACATTCACAAGTGCCAAGAAATTAACATTTTACTTTGTCTATTCAGTTTTAAAACAGAGATGAGTCTTGTCTAAAAGTGCAGAAATCTACAGAATAGTGCCAACCCTAATGTAGTTCTCACATTGAATTATTCTTTAAATTGTGCATGCTGCAAACACTTTGGCAACAAATGAATACAAGATAAATAAAATATACCCAGCCCTTGGTTTACACAACAGATTATACAAACTAAAACTGGAAATTTTGTGTAATTTCAGTTTTGGTTCCAGTATTTGTGCAGGAAACAAGGCTGCGGAACTTCGGAATATATTTCTCACACAAACGTCAATCTTGGTTTACGTAACTTCTATTTAGATGAAACTTTTGTCGAACGAGCAACTACGTAAATCAAGGATTAAGTGTAGTGCCATTTGGCGGGGTTCAGATAAATTAACCGAGTCGAGGTTACTTTGATTTAAAACGTTTTTGTGTACTTTTATCTTATGACCTTTTGAAGTGGAACATATATGATACTGCACAAGCTGTGACGTAAGACAATTTGGTCCATGGCCTGTGAACAAAATTTTTCCCACTATCCTCATCAGTGACCTTACAATTATTGGGTGAAAAGAAAATATTTTACTAGTAGTTTTCTTATTTGTATATTTTTAAAAGTTACAAACCATTGTCACCTTCATTAAAGATATTACAGCGGATCAATTTAAATGGACCACCACGTAACTCGAAATATATGCATCCTATGAAACCGACTTCGAGACGAGACTATCTGTTCTGTTGAGTGGGGCTACAGAACGTGTAAAACATGGGGTAGATTTCATTTTTGTAAACAGAAACCCCATTTTCTGTTGCATTTTACAATTCTGCGTCAAAGCAAGGGTTTCTGTCACAGTTACTAGATAAACTGGTTGGGGAGCTGCTGCTGTTCTCGCGATAGGTGCGACTGCTCCTGATAGGACAGCGTTCCGGTCATCTGGTAGGTTAAATTGGTCTGAGTTGCGTTAGCAAACACGTATTTTTGATTAAAGGGACTTTTGTAGTGTTTTGTTTTTGGTAACTTACAATTATTAGTTTTTTCGAAGAGGCATGCAAATTTAAAATTGGATTTCTAGCAAGTGGGATGTGAAAATGTTGGGCAGTGTTGCTACATCAGCACATTTTTACATCACTTGTAGACAGCAGGTGATGCAACAATGTACAACAGCGAGATGGAGGAACAAGATATTTAGCAAGTTCCTAGTGAACAAACGTGGTTCTGCTCCCCAATCAGTTTATCTAGTAACTGTGGTTTCCCATCTCCACTGATCGTAGTGCCACTTGTGACAAAACCAGTAACTCCATCTCTTGGTCCCGTCAGTCTAACATATTTGGTTCCGCGACATTTTTCCTAGGATTGTATCTTTGGCTATTTTTTTATACATATAGGGGTACTCTAAGTGCCAATGAATTATTGATACTACAGGTTGAACCTATAATCTGGTTTCTATAGTATATATATACTGGTGTATATATATGTAGCATTCTCACTACAAGAGTTATCGTTAATGCATTATTTTTGGTACAGCAATTTCCAAAAATTTGGAATTGCTGTACTTCTAGAAAGATCTAGAAGTACAGCAATTCCAATGTCTTTGCTGTTCGGTCAAAAGGGTAAAAATGAGGCAGTCACCTGCCCTTGATTACCTGGAGCATTCTTTTATATAAAGGGCAAACGTGTAAATTAGCCATGTGATGAACTCGGAATTTTCATTCTGTAAAAGTAACTTGAGACAAGTAGAAAAAGTGAATGTGCCCATTTTCTGCATTACAGTCAAAACTGCACCAACATGCCAAGTGCATAAGGTTTAAGGAACTTATCCACTGCAGAAAATTGATGTTGGAAGGAGAGTCCGCAAAGAGAAATGAACGAAAAGAAACAAATCGAGATGTTGCAATTCCGAATTTTGATTTATGGGCAGCACTCGAATGTCTCGACGAAAAGGCTGTGCTGATATTTTATGAGATGGCTTTTGGTTAAATCTGCAATCTGATAAGCCACCCTCACAATATTTGGGAGGATCAAAAGCGGACCTGGTTCCATCGAGATTGCGACACGTCTTTTTAAATATGCCGAGAACTACGAACCGAAGAAAGTATCCTTATTTGGCGGGCAAAGTAGAAATTGGTTCTTTGCCGGGGCTGTTCCGTCCAAATAGGCCACAATTTGTTAGATGTCTTGCACAGTCATTATCCTTCCAATGTACAATTTCCTCAATTGGAAAAAAAGTGATTAGAATTTGAAGATCACGCAGAGGCTGCAAGTACATTGGTTGAATTATTCTTTTAGTATTTCAATCACCTTCAAATGTAACTATGACAATGAATTCCAAAAAATCAACGTTCAAGACTGGTTTGGCAAATGTGATGTTGCACTGTGATTACTTATGAGAAACTGCTTTGTATCTGAAACATGATAAGCAGGAGCACAAAGAACAATCGCACATCTTGTTCAATCTGTAAGTAGATGTAATAGGGCAACTGTTTATATACTTGCAATAATGGCAAACGTGCACTCTTTTCTTTGAAATTTTGAATATGACACTAATACATTCGAGCAGGAAGCATGCTGCAATGGTTAAATAATACCGTGGAAACTATTTGGCTCTCCCGTAAAGCTTGGTGTTTTAAATGCTGTACCGACATCAAAACACAAAACTATTGGAATCACTACCATGTCATATTTGCAAACAAAGTAATTTGTCCAGCAACAGTACCAACAAAAATATAGCAAAATGTGTCAAACAATAATGAATTTTTAATTCAACAAAAAACATAATTTTTTTTCTTTCTTTTTTTTTACAAACTTTATAGATAACACGGACGTACAGAGTGCCTCCGAACAGATGGCAGAATGGACCCCGAGCGGCAAATAATGTACTTAATGCGGATTAACGAGATAGAACATTTACATCCGTTTATTGATATGATAAATATACATTACAAATATTCCTCCCGGTCCGCCGGAACCTAAATTCGGTAACGGACACCTCAAAAATGTGGCGACGAAGAAAGAAAAGGGTGCAGACGTACGTCGACGCTGGAAATACGTTACGGTTGCGAGTGACGGAGAAACTATCGGAAGGAACGGTCACGGAGCACCGGGACTTCTAGCGGCGTGTCCGTCTCGAGGTCGAAGGCAAGAGGGTCTGCTCTCTCTCTCGTTTCTTTACTGTCAGAGAACGGTACACTATAAAATAAAATTGATAAGTTACTTGGATGGCATTAAGCACAATGTAAATTTGATACGGTTTGTAAATGCATTATATAATTGTTATTTGTGCAGCTGCCCGTGGCGCATCGGATTACTCCGGGAACTATCAAAGCATCCACTTTTCAGAATTTATGGAGTTTTGCTTAAATATGTATTCACACCATACCATTAACTTGCATTAGGCACCCTTTGTCAGACGACGGCATAGGGTGCATGCTCTATCAATGATTTTGTTTAAACATTTATAGAATGACCAGCCCAGTCAGACCCTTTTAGATTTTATAAAAATTACTCCACTCATATGCAAATATGCATGGTCTGGTGCATATATTTAGCTACAAATGAAAGGGAGCAATTGTAGCATTAAGCAAAACGTTCTTTGTGTGTTCGACTGTCAAATTCCAACACCAGACTCAAAATATTCCTGCCCTAGTAATTATTTTGGAATCAATCTAGTAGAGAATCGTAGGGACATTTATGTCACAAAGGGTCAAAATTCAATCCAAGATGCATGAACTGCATGCTATATATCAAGAAAAGCTAAATAAAATATCAATAAGTATTGTATTGTATTGTATGTTGACATAAACAGGCTGTTCTGTGTTTTAACATTTTGTAGAGAATGATGATAAATATAAGCTTTATACAGCTAGGAAAGAATGCTTTCCTCTCACATTTCAAAACTTACGTGAGATAAACAGTAAATTACTTGTAACTTTCCACCGCTTTAAAAATATTTTTGTATTATTTTCTTCACGGAGTTGAAAATAGACATATTTAGCAATATTTTTTTGCAACATTACAATTGAATTTGGCTAAGCAGGATGCTGTTAGGACTCTCTCAACATACACTAATAGGGTTAATAGAACAAGACAAAGGCAAACATGTAACTAACACCTAGTGTAAGTATAATATGTTGCTTGAATGAAAAATAATTCACTTAAATACATCATTTGTTAAAGTATATAAAAAAATTTTGCCCCTTGTCTTATTGGTATTTAAAAATACAATACTGAACCCTCCTAGAAACAGAGATGCACCGGTAGGTATTAGTGAATGAAAATTACTTAACTCTTTCCTTACCTTGCGACAAGATAAGGAGACTTTCCGTTATGGATTAAACTTTGGCAGGAATCTGTCCTAACCCGTTCAAAGAAAATTTTCCGGCCGTTCCGTTAAAGATATAGTCATGCAGGGAATTAAAACTACTTGCCACTCTGCGTGTCGACCGCACAACAGTTGGCGTGCAAACTTAAACGAGTCACGGAAAGTCATTGTCTTTAGTATCTTACATCTCTATTCTTACTCCTGCTGCTGGAATTCCCTTCGGCCGCTCTTGGTCTTGTCGACGACTGCGGGTTCTGCTGTCTCTCCCGACCTGCGGCGTTTGCATAGCGGTTTTCTTCCTCCTGGAGACGACGTGCTAGTTCTTCGCTACAAAGGAATTTGGTTAGAAATCTTATTATCGAAATAGTTTGCAAGCTACCGTTAAAATTGTTAAAATGTTTCAGAATTTGCTTACTCTGTCAATGGTTCCGTAACTCCGAGACTCTTCTCTTTAAATTGTTCCCATTCCCAATCCTTTTGTTGTAATTTTTGATTTTCTTCTTGGAGTGTCAGTGCTACCATGTAGCTGCATGAGAATTCTTTATGTAGTAACCAAATTAAGAAAAAAACAAAACATTTCTATAGCAATGGCACTTACTCTTGATCTATCTGTTGTGCAGTCGTGACACTGGATGGCAGGGGTGGAGGTTTTGGAGGCACTGTGAGAAAATTGCTATCTACAAACTCTCCATCTCCTTCGATATTGTTGAGTGTTTCCCAGACGACGTTGCTCTCTGTCAGAAATCCTTGATCTGTCACCAGCTGAAATAACTCATTCTGAAAAAGAAAACAAGCAAATTAATGTGCACAAGTGCCTGACTTAAAAAATACGCAAGACACCAAAATTTAAGCTTACCTTGTGTTTATACATGGTAATGAAATGATTGTTGCGGAAAAGTACGGCCAGTTCCTCATCTTTCAGAGTGGCAATAAGTTCGCACAGTCCATGGTACGTCAGTTGCGAGGCAGATTTTTGCAGGTACGCTTCTGCTATGAGTGCTAAAATTACAAAATAAAAATTACGATCGACACACAATTAAAACTTAGAATCGAGTGTAGTGGAATTTACTTTTATTTACACACAAAATTCAGCTTGCAATTTATTCTTGGTACCTTAAATACAGAATACTCCCAATTATCTGGGCCAATCACGAGTAATGGAGGCACAGAAACACGGATAAGCCACAAATCGATTTTAACGAAAGCTAGTCAATTTATCTTTTACTTAGTTTTTAATTTGATATTAAATTTAACATAATAGTTTATATATCATGAATAAAATACACACTTTGAGAACAATAATTAATTAATTATTAAGCTTTAGATGTAATCAGAGTTGAATCAAATATTGGATAATTCAGAGAAATTTACTGAACTAATTTTCCTTGCTATGAATTTCTTTCATTATTAACCAAGAATGACAGATGTTGCCAGCTAGAAATCGTAGTAAAACGTCATTAATTTTGTATTATTAATTATTTATTGATAAGAAAATTCAAAACATTTTCTTCAAACAATTTTATAACTTATTTGTACACTAATTTTATTTCATGAAATAAGTAAAGCTATATTGTTCAAGAATCAACTGCACTTGTTAGGCCATTTGATTTATATGCCTAGGAGTTCTGGAAGTGGTTAAAAGTGAATTTTTACATAAAATACTGCTGTTTCTCCTACAGCAGATGCTGGGAATGTCCCCGGGGACCCAAAATCAATGGAGCTAGTCTCCTACAGAATATATGCAATCGGCAAAGAAGTTTCCAAAACCTGGAAGACCTGTGAGTGGTAATGCCATCTATCACAAAGTGGTAATTTGTGGTGTATGACTTAATTAATTAATTAAGAGTCTCGTATGCAATGCTGTACGTATAGCTTTAATCTCATTATAAATTTCTCAGTCCACATTAACTTTTCAAACATCCTGTTTAGTTATAAACTGCATCAAACAATTCTGAGCTTCTTTACTGTTTTGGCAATATGCACAGATTCTAATAATTCTACGTTTATAATAACATTTTACACAAGTTTAATAAATTATTATGCCTTATAATAAATTCCTGCAACAGTAATTTACCTTCTCTTTCTAATTCCGGGTGAGAAGAGCTTTTATTGTTGATGATCTTCTCGACCAACTGGTTGTAGCTGTGATTTCCCACCGCAGCCTGGATATCCGGGCTCTGAGGATCCACTAACCATCCATGATACAGAGGTATGTGCAATAAATCAAAAATAATACATTCCGGAGTGTATTCGAAATCGCTAACTCTGTAAAACAAAATTGAATCCTTTATTTATTTTTAGAAAAATTAAATATCAACGATAAAAACAGTTCATTACCAAATTAATTTTATAAGTATAAAGCTACTTCAACTTGCAACAGTGTCATACGTGTCAGATTGACGCAAAATGTTTGGAAAGCAAATGCATATGTGCCGCATAATATCTAAATATCTCCATCTCAGCATAAGACAACACACAATAGATTCTATACCACATTTTAAATCAATTCTCTGAACAAGATTCTACTGTGTATATAATTCTTATTAATATATATAACAATACATACCCAGTGAATTTTATATTTACATCTAACCCAGTTTGTAATTTTGGCAGTATGGCCATCGCATCGTGCATATTCTGTTCGTAATTCAGCTGAGCTCCTTCTGGAATATTCTTAATAAAAGATATACGTTTATGAGTTAACATAAAATCATATAAAATGAACCGTTTAAAATATAACTTACCTTTGGAATGTTGTCCAATATACAGTCACCAAGATATTCCATAAGCTGCTCTGCAGTGATGATTTCCATCATCGGAGGTAAACTTATTCTGTTTTTAAGAATTAGGAAATTCATTATGGCTATCAGTGGACATGGACCATTCTCATTCTGGGGAAAAAAAAAAATTGATTAAAATTACTAAAAATTATTTACATGTTCTCTTATTAGAAAGACAAATATTATCATACTTGTGTTATGATAGGAGTTTTTTGATCTTTCCATTGAACCCATTTGATATGATAAGCCGAATTAGGAGGAACACTAGACGAATTCGCTTGCTGACTCTTGGGACTTTCCGTCTGCAACACAGTCGATTCCTGTTTCTCGGCTGCGGGAATAGACTGTGGTCGAACGACGCCGACCGATCTGTCGGTAGAGCCATCGGCCACGTCGACCTCGGCAGAGGCATCCAGCAAGACAGTCTGTTCGTTCACATTGCCGACATCACACACAACAGAATTTTTTGATTGGTTACTATTCACAGTTTGAACTATTTCAAAGTCTGTAGTCTCGATTTGATCAGGCACTTTTTCGACTTCGGAACCCTTGCATCTCTTAACGGGCATAATGGTATTATCTAACATGTTACTATCACTCAATTCCTCACAGTTTTCCAAACCCATCTTCTCACTTCTTAAGTCACTATTCTGTTGAGAACACGTATCTATGAGCTCGCTCTTCAATATTTCGCCCTCCTTATTCACCGTGCCCTCCTCATTCTCCATCAGCGTCACGCTCAACTGCTGGGATTGGATTTCGTGCTCTGTCGCCGTGCTCGTCATTTCTACTAAAAAAAAACTGAAAAACAATCAAGGAGTTTTAAAAAAATCTCAAACATTACATACAAAAAGCATTGTTAATCAATTTCTATAAATCAAATCAAACAAAACATAATTTCTTTGATTTATAAATAGAATTTGATAAATAGAATTTTCTGAATAACTTTTATATTACTAGATGCACTCTAAGCTAAATTTTTGTAACATATCTGACCTCTAAAGTCAAATTCTATAATACAAAAATTATTATTAAAACATTACTGTCATTTGTACTGGTGGTGGTAACACAGTATAAAATGTTAAAAAGGTTACGGAAATCATTTCTGTCACACTAGTAGCCCGGGACGCTCCCTAGTGGGCGTTCTTTACAAATTTCCATGAGGCATGTTTGAGGTTCCTTTGACTTTTTTGTTTCTATCAATATGTTCTATAGCTCCGTTAAAGTCCCAATGGTAAGATTTACCCTCCAAATGAAGGGGTGGTGATCCCCCAAACTGTAGTCCCCCTGTGCGAACAATAAAGTCAAAGGAACCATACCCCTACTCACAACCCTTCGCAAGATATAAGCTCCTGAAAATTCGCCTACGTCATATCCAGTCACATGACACCGTGGTCAAAAGTAAGCCTACCAGGCAAAAAAAACTAACATGTGCTTGTGCACACTTGGGGGTTCGCCGACCCGCTCATTCACAGGGTAAATTGTGGCAAACAGGCGGTCACATGACACGTAGAATAATTTTCAGAGCGCTATATCTCGGGAAGGGTCACGCGTAGGGGTATGGTTCATTACACATTTATTGTTTGCACAGAGGGGGGTTGCCACCTATTCATTCAGAGGATAAATCTTACCGTCCCAATAGCATCATACGGATCTATATTTCTACCTATTAAACATTCTATAAATACTTTAAAATAGTTTAATTTGTTTATTTACCTTCGCCTGTAAACCTCGATTTTAAATGTATCCGCCATTTTTCAACAAATTTCCTGTGAGTCAATGCGCGATGTTCACCGAGTCATGGGATGTCGTAAATGTGCGGCGCAAGGTTAATCGAGGCATATAATAAGGCAAGGCATATAATAATTATTTATACCATTCCATGGTATAAATAATAAATTTGTATCAATAATAAATTCCTATTACAAATAAAAATAATTGTTAATTTAAAATCTTCGCTAGGGTGCCTCTAGTGTCCATTATCATATCATTACGCGGACAGATGGATACCCATTGAATGGGTTATATATATAGATTACATATGAAGTGTGATAAAAATACAAAAATTCTGGATCGAACACACAAAAATACAACAAAACCATATGCAAATAGCCAACATTTATAAGTGTTACATAAAAGAAAAACTAGCATTTACCATTGTAATAAAGATTACTTTTACCAAGTGGAGGAGACAGAAGAGGAAAGCGTCTGACAAATAATTCAACTGCCAATCTGATATTTTCTGGTCGAACAATTCAAATTAGCAGCTGCCTACAAATCCACTAATTTAAGAGGAGATAAATTAAAGGTGTAAAGCTCCAATGCCGTTTCACATTAAATTATTATAAGATATTAATAGCCAATTATTTAAAAAAACGTTGTATGTTTTATAACCTTTTATATTTGCAAATAATGCAGAAATTACGGGAAGGAAGAAAATTACACACTTATGGCCGAAGAGCTGTTTAAACTACTCAAAACAACATTAACTGGTGTGGTCTCCTTACAAATTTAAAATTCTATAAATGATAATTACTCTTAAACATTTTAAATTTACAAAATTTCCTAGACAATGTTAATAAATTTAAACTCTTGCATTATAAATTCTTTGTACTGTCACTAAATATTGCTATTAAGTAGTAAATCTGTCCTTTGGACAGGATTTGTTAACACGTTTTTTTAATAAACTGCACGCATTAAAAAAAGTTTATATCTACGCTTGTACTTAATTCCCAAATTTACAAACAACAAAAATAAACAATTCAAATTGTTTTCACTAAGATACAAACATGTCGGAACATCCTGTACGAAACGAAACAAACCAAATTAATTAATATCAATACAAATTTAGTTAGTGCTTTGTCGTCTTCATCGACGGAAGTCAATTATCTAATATGGATTAATTAAACAAATAATTAGGCCACTTATTTCAGCTAGCATATTTGCTATACATTGTTAATAGTTAACAATATTAATTACACACAAATTAATAGTTAAAAATGAAATGTTGGAATGGATTCGGAGCGTAACAGTCACATCGAATGCTCACAAGGGAGCAAAAAATCTTGTTTATTGTTCCTTTATTGCCTATGAGATGGAAATGTTTCTTTACAAAAGTAGATAAATATATAATAAAGTTTTGTATCCTTTTAAAGCAATAAAAACATCCAGTTTCCTGACATTGTACACTTAACAATGCCACATGACACTAACAATTCTCTTATTGTCATCCTTACTTGTCCTTTAATTAAATGGAAGACAATGAACGATTAAAAAAAAAGAAAAGGACATTCTTGGTTCTTAAATAAATCCTTTCCTCCTTTTGAAAAATAGCTTATTCTCTTCAATATACAAAAGTGAGGATGAAGATGATGACGATGACGAATAATCAATTGCGACAATAAACATATACATAATAAATAAAGAAATTTGTTTTCGAAGAGTAACTTAATTATTAAAATTGGGCGCTCTCTACATTAATTCTATTATAAGAGCTTTGACATTTTCCTAATTGATTTTACATTAGTTAGAATTAATTAACCTGGTTTATCGTCTTCTGAATACTCGACAGTCGTGCACGAATCAATAAAGATTAAAAAGTCAAACATTTTTCTACGACGGCAGATGACGTTTGTCATAAGAAAATTTATCGTAAAAACTTGATTAGGAACGATGGAAATATATCAGCCGTTTATTGTCTACTTTCCACACATTAACGTTTTGATGTGATAGCAGTTTATTATAGCATCTAATGACATTAAAGAGAATTAATCATTTTGTTTGTTTATATAGAAAGCTTTGGGTCAAGGACGTGCCTGTTGGAAACTCAAAACTTCTAATTGTCGTCAAATTTCTTGTTAGAATTCAGTTTAATGCTACTTCAATATTTCGCTCTATTGTATTGAAACTGGCAATATGGAAACACTTTTTAGCACATACCTATGCAAACAACTATATAAAAAAAAATTACATTTGTTGACAAACCATCCCGACCACCGAGTAAAAGCAAATTCAGCTCCTTGATTAATGGATTTTTGGCATGCGATTAAAATTTCCGCATTTTTACATTTACAAGATTGTATAATACTCTAGACCAGGATTAAATTTATGCTTTAAACTACTTCAAATGTGGATAAAAACAAGCTACGCGGGCCAGATAAATATGCTTTGGGAAAATATTTGACACGTGGGTTGTAGGTTGGAGACCCCCCTGCTCCAGACAAGGGTGAAGTACAAATACATTATGATTTTTCTACGTTAATTAAACTGCTTGATTAAAGAAGCATTAGAATAAATTATCTTGCTGTTTGGTAGCAAGGTTTTTGTTTATACAATTTTAAACTTAATTCGCGAAAATCGAAATCTTATTGCATAATAAATAACAGAATTACTAAATAAATAGTAGATTACAGTAAAAATAAATGCCTCTACGACTAGAAACTTTTTCAACAGAGAAAACAAAGCTGAAAACAAAACAAGAATTTCCTGTAGGACAAACAAAGGCATAACATAACAATAAAATAATACCTTTTCTTAGCAACTGACATCTAAAAAATTTCAATTTTTAACTTCATAATTGGTAGGTTGTTCCGGCAGAGTGTTAAAACTGAAATTCCATAGGATTTTCTATTTACATATTCACAAAACAAATTACACGCATAACACTCAAACAACCAGCTACCAAAAAGAAAATACTCGAAAAATATGGGAACAAATAAAATCCCTACATATACAATAATCTAATTTAAATGGAAACTTGTTGCTAATGAATTCGAATAATCTATTCTTGCCACAAATCTTGACCGTTTGCACTGTTAAGAATTCAGATCATTGTTTCCATCTTTTGGGTGTGCATCTTTCCCAAGGATTTCAGTCTTTTAGTTTTTCACATTGTATCAACCGATCAATTATACGTGGGTTTTTTCAACCTCCAATGGCCCATAAAACAGACAAGTGTAAATAACAAAATGAATTTATTACCAAAAGTTAGGTACAAATATGGTTACTTTTCAACATAATCACTACGAAGTTTCAGGCATTTGTCTATCTGTGGATGAGCTTTGAAATTCCCTCTTAATAGCACGTCATAGAAAGGTGTGAAGACTATCACCTTTCAGACTTCCACCTAACTTGGAACTTTTTAAACACCCAGCATACAGCCCGAGCGACTTCCACCTCTTTCCTGAACTAAAAATGTGACTAGGAGGGCAGAGGTTCAAGACTAATGACAATTTTCAAAACAACATTAAGGCTCATCTCAAGTCATTGGCGGCAACATTCTATGAAGAGGGGATTTCAAAGCACAGATGGACAAATGCCTTGATCTTCGCGGTAATTATGTCAAAAAGTAACCATGTTTGTACCTAACTTTTGGTAATAAATTCATTTTGTTATTTACACTTGTCTTTGTTTTATGGACCATCAGACATCGAAAAAAAAAAAAAAAACAGCCTACATATATTAAGTACAAAAATACCTAGGTTTACAACCCATCGACATATGACTATCAAAAGTAATGGTCATCCCATTAAGCATAGTAGTAACTATTGGGAAACACGACGCGCACACAGTTGAAACAGAAAGCAACAATGCCGCCAACCACGTAACTGTACTGTACATAACCTTGTTTTCTATAATACAAGTTATAATAGCTATAATAAGTGGTTTTATTTAACATAATGTATGCTTTGTTTTTGTCATTATTGACATTGATTAATGTTTATAATCACCTTAGCATTAAAATGTCTTAGGGTACTTGTAATGTCTTTTGAAATGATCGAATGGCCTCTCTTCCACTATCT